CAATTTTTTATGAAGACAATGCTGCATGCATAGCCCAATTAAAGGGAAGATTTATAAAAGGAGATAGAACGAAGCACATTTCACCAAAATTATTGTACACACATGATCTTCAGAAAGATGGTGACATCGATGTGTAACAAATCCGTTCAAGTGACAATCCAGGAGATTTGTTCACTAAATTTTGGCAACTTCAAATTTTGAGAAGATGGTATACAAGATTGGAATGCGGAGACTCAAATATTTGAAACAAAGTTTTCATCAGGGGGAGTGAAATACGCGTTGTACTATTTTTTCCTTACTAAGGTTTTTCCCATGAGGTTTTTCTTCTAAGGTTTTTAATGAGGCAACTAGAAATGCGTATTACTAAATATGTGTACTCTTTTTCCTTCACTATGATTTTTTCCACTGAGTATTTCTTAGTAAGGTTTTAACGAGGTACAATATCTTTTAATAAACATCCAAGGGGGAGTGCTATGTGAATAATTATATTGTGGATATCCATTTATTACTCCGCTCAAGAAGATTATCTGTTTGGTACTCTATTAAAGTTTATCTACAAGCAGCTGATGCAGGCAGGTTGCAAGCAACTAAATGAAATGATTTACAACAGTTTCTTATTAAACTGGCAGGTTGCAAGCAGTTCATGCAGACAACTTACAAACAGCTCAAGAAAAGCCTTGCAGCTGCTTCCTAAAAAGCCTCGCAGCTGCTTCCTTTCTTCTATAAATAGAGGAGTTTTCAGTTCATTATGTATATCAGTTTGGAGTTGAATAATATATCAGTTTCTCTCCATACTTGTCTTTACTTTACGGTCTTTATTTTATAACATAATTTAAATTATGCATATTTTTGGAAGTAACAACATAATAAATATGATAAACTTGATAAATGTAAGTCGAACAACACCATTGATTCAACTTAGTAAAATTCGCACTTTACCTCGTAAGATGAAAATAAGCAATAAGAGTAATCTAATTTGAGGTATATGTAATATATAATTGCATCACTACAACAAATGTGAAATTTAGCTACGAAATTATTAGTTACGATACAAAATTTGTCACTAATTGTTCATTGTTCGTGACAAAAATAATAATTTGTCTTTAAATATATGAATCACATACTTTTAGTGACGAAACATAAAAATTCGTAGCAAAGTTTCGTCCATTAAAGTTTCCCACCAAAAAATGAGTTGGCGCCATTTATTGAGTAATATTAGCCACAAATTTAAAGTTATTGATGACAAATTATTTTGTCACTGATGATGTACTCAATTAGTGACGAACCATTATTTGTCTTAGAACTATTTAACTTTTGGACACGAAAAATTTTCGTCACAAAATATATATTGTTGTAATAGTGACGAATTAGAATTTGTAGTTAAACATTGTAAACTTCAGCGATAAAATTTTATATTTAATTGTGACCTTAATTTTTGTCACTAATAGTGCAAGCAATTAGTGACAATTATTTTATTGTCTCTATTTAATTTACAATTCAGTCACAATAAAATTTTGTCACAAAATATGTAATTTTAAATGGCTACGACTTAACTTTGTAGTTGAATCATGCAATAATTGGCTACAAAAAAATGTGTAGTTCAAAATCAAAAACTCATACTTCGTATTTAACTATAAATCTGAAGTTTATGCATGCATGATACATATACTTACTTCTTTACGACTAATTTCACTTGTGATTGAAATAACCATCTTATCAAAATTATCAAGTTTGAGAAACTCAAACCCCCCTTTGTCACGATCCGAAATTTCCATATTCGAAATCGTGATGACGCCTAATATTTCACTTTGTTGGGCAACCCAATAGAATATAATTAGCCATTTTAATAAAATTTTAAATTAATTAATACCAAGGAAACAAATGCGGAAGTAAGGTCTGGAATGTAGTGAATAATCCATATTAATAACAATGTCTAAATACTATCCTAGAACTGGAGTCACAAGTGTACGAGTTTCTAGAAAAATACAAATAAAGGTCTGAATAAAATTCAAGTTGTTTGAAATATAATACACATCTGAGACAATATAGAAGGGGACTTCAGAACTGCGAATGTTGTGCAGTTATATTTCAAGTCTCCACTGGTAGCTGTATCCGGGCAAATCTACGGTACGCCGCTAGGACCAACTCCGAAATTTGTACAAGAAGTGTAAAGTGCAGTATCGGTACAATCGACCCCATGTACTGGTAAGTATCAAGCCTAACCTCAACGAAATAGTGACGAGGCTATGACAAGACACGTACATAAATAATTTGTACAATTATATACAAATACGAAGTAACAATAATACAATAAATAATAATTTATAAATTGGGCGGAAACATGCGAAAGGGAAGGATATAATAATTTCAGCAGGAGAAGTGTCAATTAGCAGCCAATTAATGTATCAACAATAAAACGAGCAATTGATAATATAAAAATGGCACGACACCACCCTTCGTGCTTTTACTCTCATTTGGCACGGCATCACCCTTCGTACTTTTACTCTCATTTGGCACGGCATCACCCTTCGTACTTTTATACTCACAATTGGCACGGCAACAACCTTCGTGCTTTTACACTCACAAATGGCACGACAACACCCTTCGTGCTTTACACTCTGTGTATCAAATTTGAAGTCATTCTAGATTCATTTAATATGTTTTGGCACGAGATTTGCAAATTGAAAAGTTTAAAACTCAAAAGTTCGAATCGAGGTGTGAATTGTAATTTCAGCATTGTATGACGTGATATGGGACCCTCAGTAAGTTCGTATTATGTTACGGGACTTGTTGGTATATTCAGACGGGGTTCTGAGTACCCTGAGTGTGATTCGGATCGAAATCAGATCAAATTGTGAATTTAAGCAAATTCTGGAATTTTGTTGCCTCTGATGTAATCGCACCTGCGAGGGTCTTGGCCGCAGGTGCGATGCCACAGGTGCGACGGAAATTGCGCAGATGCGAGACTGGGCTGGCCTGGGGTCTTCGCAGGTGCGGCAATATTGCGCAAAAGCGGATGTCGCATGTGCGAGGGGAATGTCCGCAGATGCGGAACTTCATCTGGCAGCCTGGCATCGTAAATGCAAGTCCGTAAATGCGAAACTTTTATCCGCAGATGCGAAAATGACTAGGCAGAGCCCATAAATTCGGAAGTCGCCATTTTTACTCATTTTTTAGTTTTNTATATATATATATATATATTTAAAGTTTAAAAAGTATTAAGAAGCTTCTTTAGACACTGAAATTTTAACGGATCAAGATAAATCTTAAATTCAACACGACTCTTGAAATATTAAGAGTCTATTAAGTTAACTTGGTGGCTACTCCAACCAAACCTTAATTCATGCCTATAAATAAGGTTACATATGTCCTTCAAAGACTATCTCAGGAATTCCATAAACTCCCGAAATATGCACAACGAGATCAAATATACAATCTCCGAAATTCCATTAAAATCTTGAAATGTTCATTAAGAGATCAAAGACATGTGAAATATATCTTGCTTAAAGTTCTAGCAACATTAAGATCCAAATGGAGTGCTGCTACATGCTTCCTAATCATCAAATACATCAAGGAGATGCATATCATCCTACATTCGAGAAATACGCCTCTAAGACGAGTTGTAACCTGCAATGTTTATCAATAAAATTCTTTTTTCTTTATAATTGTTTGTGATTGCAGTTTTATTTTTCTGCACAAATTTATTGCAAACAAATTAGCACGCCCAGTGACACCAGTTCTGCTCTTCATCTCTTTCCTCCCGCAAATCGAAAACTACAAGTTTCAAAATTATATATTGTGATAGTCGGATACTTCAAGTCTCGTCTTCAAGTTTCAGCAAAGACTGCACCTCGACAAAACATTGAAGTGTGGGGCATTTGTAGACACTGAAATTTTAGCAGATCAAGATAAATCTTAAATTCAAGACGACTCTTGAAATATTAGGAGTCTATTAAGGTTACTCGGTGGCTACTCCACCCAAACCTTAATTTATGCCTATAAATAAGGCTACATATGTTCTTTAAAGACGATCTCAGAAATTACATAAACTCCTAGAATATGTACAATGTGATCAAATATACGATCTCCAAAATTCCATTAAAATTTTGGAATAGATGAAAGGCATGTCAAATATGTCTTGCTTAAAGTTCTAGCAACATTCAAGATCCAAATGGAGTGTTGCTACATGCTTCCTGATCATAAAATACATCAAGGAGATGCATATCATCCTACATTCGAGAAATACGCATCTAAGGCCCTCGAATTACGGATAACAAATCGAAGGAAAAAATCAAGGGATAAACAGAATTGTAACCCATAATGTTTATCAATAAAATTCTTTCTTTATAGTTATTTGTGATTGCAGTTTTATTTTTTTAACAGCAAAAAGCTTCAAATACTAAAGTTAGAGTCTTTATAAATATTAAAATATTATCTACAACCAAACAAAAACCTTAAGAATTCACCAAAATCTCGTGATCGTACAAATATTTGTGGCTGTAAAAGCTTTCAACAATACGAATATAAAACTCCTTTTCACAAACAAGGAAAGAAAAAAAAATCTTTTTCGTTGAGACCCAAAAATAGAATAATTCCAATATCGATCGCGAAATTTCCTTTAAAGAAACAGACACCATATATCTTCAAAACCAATAAACTCCAACCACGTAAAAAGCAATCACATGAACGTCACGTGACTCAAGCATCATTATTTTATTTTAAAAAGTAAAATAAAAAAAGAAGTCTTCCTTTATTAGTCTTGCCTTTTCTTTTTCTTCTTCTTTCATTAATAAAAAGTTTCTGTAGTGTTTACACACAAAAACCTTTTCTTAATTGACAATTTAATTTCATGATATTTCCAGCTGGTGGATTCCCCACAACGTTAAATAATACTTATACGCATTAAATTAAAAATAATCCTAATACGAATCCACCCCCACCTCCCATCAACCCTACACCAACCACCTTTTAATATAACCCCACAAACAAATAGATAACAGTATACATACAGCTCCATACACAAATCATTTTTCTTACTTTTACACAAACCTCCTAAATATAGCTCAAAAACACAAACAACAACATCAACATCTCCCAACTACACGACAGCCCACCATTTCAATGGCATAAACTCCTCTAAAAACCCATTTTTAAGGCTGACTTTCAACTACCCCTTTTGATCTTTTCCCTATTTTTCGCAAATCTTGAACTACCCTTTGGTTGCAAATTTGGAAACCCCTATTTGATAATATTTTGGGCATAATTTGAAGTATACCATTTTTGGTTAAAGTTTGGAGAATCCATGGCCGGTACCACTACCGCCGGCGACACCAGCACCAGCAGTAGAAGCAACCTAGCGCCGACAAAAAGTCTGAGCAAAAAGGAAAATCAAGGACTTTTATTGGGTAGGTACGAAATTGGGAAATTACTTGGGCATGGTACGTTTGCTAAGGTGTACCACGCTAGGAATGTGAAGACAAATGAGAGCGTTGCCATAAAAGTTATTGATAAAGAAAAGATCTTGAAAGTTGGTCTTATTGATCACATAAAACGCGAGATCTCAATTTTAAGGAGAGTTAGGCACCCAAACATAGTCCAATTGTACGAAGTTATGGCCACAAAGGCCAAAATCTACTTTGTCATGGAGTATGTTAAAGGCGGTGAGCTTTTTAACAAAGTTGCTAAAGGCAGGCTTAAGGAGGAAGTTGCTAGAAAATATTTCCAGCAGTTAATCTCTGCTGTAGCCTTTTGTCATGCTCGTGGTGTTTACCATAGGGACCTAAAGCCTGAAAATATACTGTTAGATGAAGATGGGAATGTGAAAGTTTCTGACTTTGGCCTTAGTGCCATTTCAGAGCAGATAAAACAAGATGGTTTGTTTCATACTTTTTGTGGTACCCCGGCCTATGTGGCGCCGGAGGTGTTAGCTAGAAAGGGTTATGATGCAGCCAAAGTTGATATTTGGTCATGTGGTGTTATTCTCTTTGTGCTAATGGCAGGGTATTTGCCATTTCATGATCAGAATATTATGGCTATGTATAAGAAGATATATAAAGGTGAATTTAGATGTCCTAGATGGTTTTCGCCTGAATTGACTAGGTTTCTAAGACAACTTCTTGATACTAATCCTGAAACTAGGATCACTATTCAGGAGGTTATGAACAATAGGTGGTTTAAGAAGGGTTTTAAACATGTCAAGTTTTATATTGAGGATGACAAGTTGTGTAGTGTTAATGATGATGATTATGATGGCGGGGCTGATTATTCGTCTGATAGATCAGAGTCTGAATCTGAAATGGAGATGAGAAGGAAGCCGGCTACTTTGCCTAGGCCAGCTAGCTTGAATGCATTTGATATCATTTCATTTTCCCGAGGTTTTGATTTGTCTGGTTTGTTTGAGGAGGGAGGAGATGGGGCAAGGTTTGTATCCGGGGCTCCCGTGCCCAAGATCATAAGTAAGTTGGAGGAAATTGCTAAAGTTGTGAGCTTTGCAGTGAGGAAGAAGGATTGTAGAGTGAGTTTGGAGGGGTCTAAGGAGGGTGAAAAGGGACCATTGACAATTGCAGCTGAGATATTTGAGTTGACACCGTCGCTGAGAGTTGTTGAGGTGAAGAAGAAAGGAGGAGATAGAGTGGAGTATGAGGAGTTTTACAACAGGGAATTGAAGCCAGGGTTACAGAATTTATCGCTTGAAGTTGGAGACCCTATCCATTCATCTTATTTGCCATCAGATACTGAATAGAGAGAAAGAGAAGGGAAAAGGGTAAGCTCTCTTCTCTTTCGTTTTAATATCTTTAGGTGCATTTGTATAGATAGCACTTTGTATTTACACTTTTGCATCTGTTATTAGCTCACATTCTAAGGTTGTGATATCTTGTAATTTCTGTTCTTGTTGTGGAATACTATATGAAGATCTAAAAAATGGAATACATCAGTGTCTCAGAATTGGCTCAGTTCTCAATTTCCTTTTATTTTCTCTAACTAATATTATTCTGACGCTAAATTCATAATTTGGTAAACTATTCCTATGAGCGAATCCATAGCTGTACTAGTCTGTAGCTTGTGGAAGTGCTTCTTTATACAGATTAAGCTTCCCAATTTCGTTGTAGCTTGTGGAAGCCATGTGCTATAGATCGAGCTTCTCAATCTTATAAGGCCAGCTTTTCTGTACCACTTGTTGCGGATGATGGTATATGCTTGAATGCTCTCGTTTTGTGCAACTTTCTCTAGTTAGTATGGACAAGAAGCAGGTGTAGCTATCATGCAGTTGTCAATTGTTGGATTGAATGAGCAAGCATTTATAAATAACGAGCAATTTTTTGTAAAATAATATTTGCAATGAGATTTTGGTAATATTTAATTAATTACTCAAAAGTTATTCAATCCATCCCCAACACATATGGACTTCGCAGAATGATGAGAAAAGAAAGAGGACGATGGTCTATGGAAATTCATATCAAGCAAAAAAAAGGGGGGGGGGGTCTATGGAAATTCATGAACAATTCCAGATATAGTATAAGGTTCAATTGTTTATCAACCGCTTTTTTGTTTATTTTTGTTTAGGTTGTTGGTGTCTGCATTGGTCTTATAGAAATGGGGATCATTCATGGATTGTAATCTTTTCCTTACTATTGCCAAGTTTCTGATCAAGGCCAGTGGAACCTTGATGATTGGAAATTGGATTAAGGCTCTTAAAGATTTTCTTGAGGATGTTACCTCCTATGCTAAACCTTACTGAATGATTGCTTGTCATTAGCTTTTCACTTGAGCTTTTAGCTTCCCTGCTAGTTTTCTTGGTCAATCTGGAGTTTCCCTTTCAGTTGATTATACTTGAATATCAGTAGATCTTCTCCAGGGAAAAAGAAAAAGAAGAACCTAGTTTGAAGAGCTACAAACTAGCCACGCAATGCCCGTTTAACCTTTGATAGGTGTAGGTGCCACAAGTCTGAGTGCAGGCAACAACTAAGGCAATGACATTTGAGTGAGGTAACTCTTCCTTTTGCAATTGGAGGATAAAACTATTTGTTTACTTATAACAAAAAATATAGCTGGCTGAGCTTCTGCTGGAAGGGATTCTGAAAAAGAATTGATTTTCTTTCAGATCAGTTTGTCCAGATAGGTTTTATTTGCGTGAATGTTTTAGGACAATGTATATGGAGAATTTGACTGTTCAAACTTTTAAGTGAAGACGACTATTGTAGATTTACAGAAACCAGCTCTCTGTTCTCCCTTGGTCGGTGATGAAGTAGGTATATACCGTGTTCGAATAATTTGCCTCAAGCTTTTCCCTTGAAGCCTATAGTATGACTTTTTTCCCCTAAGACCTGAAGCACTGCCTTTTGGCTTTCCAATAGATGGCAACTGCTTTATACTTCATAATGTATAGAATGCCTAAATCTATAGTCAAATTTCAAGACTACAGGGAGAAAAAGTCACATATTACACGGAACAAAGTAATTAGAGAAAATGCGGGATAACTTGTGCTTTGATAGTAAGATTGGCTCTAGCTAGAATTAAACTGGTATTGGGAAAAAACCAAAAGATCTCGGGTAAGACTGCTTCCTGGAGTAATTAGTTTCTGTTAGAGGCAAGCACTTAGTACACTGACATAGCTGTAGGTAGTGTCAATAGACAGAAATTGCTTGATTTTTATTCTAATGAGGAATCAGATATTCAGAGAGAACCATGTTCTGCCGCTATGCTTTTAGTAGGTGTAAAATTTCTTTTATGCGGTGCGAAAATTTAATTGGATAAAGGGGCATTTGGAAGTTATCCATAATACATGCATAGGAGTATATTTTCAATTTGACTAGCATGTTCTAACTTTTTGAGGCACTTTCTGGGTACTGAGGTAATAAAATTTCATTTTACTTATAAAAAAAGTGGTTTTTGATGATCTCTCATATTAGGCTGACCACCCATTTCTCCTTGGTTCTTTAGTTATAGTCCTATTGTTTCACCAGTAGGGAATTATCTTTTGCTGATGGGAATATACTGCAATATCCTGGATCTATGAACAGATCTTTTGTCAATTCTTATGTTTACTTCTTGCATATGCTGTATTCTGTTATGCTGTATGGTTGGTTTTAAAATTAGTGAAGGACTAGTCCTTTCTGGTTCCTTCCCTTTTTATAGTACTATTGTTTTCTTGGTAGTGCCAATTGAACATTGTTGACCAACCTTTCTCATATAAAAGAATGAAACTTTTTTTTCTTTATTATGGCCAGGTCATTCATCACTACGATGCTGGTATTATTAATTAAATATTTAGTAGCGGTTCGTACTGAAAGACGTAATTACTAAATTTGTATTTGGCAACTGGTTGCCTGAATTTGGCCACTTATGGCTTTTTATATACTAATAATAATAGGCCAATTAACTAATGACACATCTATTTATGCACTTTGAATAAGCACTTCATTATTTTCTATTGATGATGCAATCGACTCTTCTGGCATATTGGTTTCTTTCTATTGGTGTGATACATGCATATATAATCATCAATGAACATGCAGTGCCATGAAATTTTTGTAATGTACCAATAAAGAAGAATTGAAAAAAAAAAATAACAAGAGAAGGGGTAAATGGAAAGAGCAAGAAGTAGTCTGGCAATTTTGCAGCTATATAAAGTGGTAAACTGCTATTATATCCTAAAACCTTCAAAGCCCCTTTGAATCTTAATATAACTATTAATTAGTGCTGATTAGTTTTATTAAATTTCTAGCAGAAGTTATTGATTCTTTCTTTTTTAATCTCTCTTTATGTCCTTTAGTGTCTTTATTTATTGCCTGACATTGTCAAATGGGTGTTAGATCTGTGTGATTGCACTGGCCAGCAGGTTCTAATGATTTGGTATCATATCATGGGATGCCAATTGCCAAACAAAATTAGACTGGCAGAAAATGCAGTTCAATAATGTATTTCTGTTTGTTCCATGTATGTTAGGTAAGTGTGGACTTCTAACAACTGGTGAAGGCTACTTCCACTAGAAGGGAGAACTCATGAATTCCAAAAAGCAGAGCCAAATGCCAAGCTGGATGGATCAAGCGCTAACCCTCGGCAACTAGACCTTTGCGTTGCACTTCGTCACAAGTTGATGTTCAAGATCAAGATTTAACCATTTCAACTCAGACCAGTGCATAACATGGTTCGTAGTCTAGTTGTATATTAGTAGTCTATCTAATATCTATGGAACTGGTAGTTGCAGCCAAAAAAAAAATGTCTTCTGATTTGCACTTCATGCCAAGTTAGTGGATGCAACTCTTATGCAGAGAAACAAATAAATAAATACATTGAAAATGGCATAAGGAATAGTCAAAGTAGGTTTTTAAATTAAATAACTTTGTAATAATGGTTCTGGACCATACTAAAAACGAATATTTCTGGACCACTGTGTAGTGAATGAATGAAAGCTTTGTTTAGTGTCGTGAGACGGCAGTTTCAGGACTAGTGCAAGCTGTTGCTATCAAACATTTTGGCCTCTTACCAAATTTCTGCAGGCATGTTAGATGAAATGATCTATTTTTTGGTCAATTTTTCTGCGTGGGGATATTGGTATCTAGCTTTTGTATATGCGAATCTCATTGATCAACAGAGAATTCTTTACTTTGCACTAATTTAGAAATTGCAAACTAGGGAGAGAACAGAAAGGGAAAATAGGATGAGATACAGGCGAAGTAAACAATGATAATTATATCACTTAACTATGGTTGTGCGATAAATGTGTGTACATTAGCTTAATATAAACATTGAATAGTCGGCTCAATTTTCATTAATTTAGGAATTATTTATCACATATAAATCCTATTATTAGTTATTGTACATAATTAACATGTGAATCAAAAACAAACTTCCTTGAGAGTACAAGACAAAAGCATTTTAGTTTATTGTTAGGTTTATGTAATATTACTGTTGTTGATTTTTCACTAATAATCACTATTAATTTATTTCTTCACTTTTAATATTTCGTATAGGTGTCTCATCCTCTTGGAACAACCCTAAAAGAAGATCTGACATGACAAATAACAAATCTCTATTCTCTAGCCGAATCCGTGCATATCGTATCTCGTATAATAAAATCATCAAGTGCCTAGATTTTTTTTATTTTTATTTTTAATTTTTGCCTCCGATATTGGCCAAAAACAATTCTCAAATCTCAATATAACACTCCTCCAATAATTATTCCAAAATTGACGTTCCTATTGCCATATACTATACTAATTTGATTTTGCGGAGTAAGTATTTGTTTTGAATTTTCCTTCTAGGAGCATATTCTAGTGTTTTACCTAGTATATGTTCATTGGTTCTTTAAATTTATATTACAAGGCTATTTGATTCTATAGCATCTAGATGCATTGACTCTCAGCTCGAGGCGATTAAGATTTATAGTTACTGGTTTAGAATAAGTTGAATTTATATATATCCATACAAAGAGTGAATCTTTTTTGTATTTATAGTTATGGATCGAGTCGATTAATTGAAATAAATTTACATGCCGTTCACTTTGAGTAAGGATAATATCTTTTGATGATGAGAATATGATGGACAAGATCCGGGATCTAAGGACTGAGCTTTGTCAATTCCTATGTTTTCTTCTTGCATACTCAGTATTCTGTTATGCTCTGTCATGTGTATTTTATGGTCCTTTTGTTAATAAATGAGTATCCTTATGGTTGATTTTTAAAATTATTGGAGGAATAACTAGTCCTGTCTGATTCTTTTCCTTTCATATACTCTACTTCTCTTTCTTTAGTTTGTAAATTGAACATTGTTGACCAACCTTTCTGATTCAAAAGAATGAAACCTCTTTTTATTTGTTAGTGTTGCCGGCATTTGACATGTCATTCATCTTATTTCTATGCTTTGGAGTATATATATATATATATATATATATAAATGTTAGTGGTGGTTCTTACTGATAGACCTAATTGCTCAATTTGTATTTGGAAAGTGATTGCTGAACTCGGCTGCTTATGACATATATATTATAGGAAATTTTACCTCCTACAACAAACAAAGGTATACACTCTATTTATTATAAACCAAAATTATTTTAAAATATTATTTTCTATAGCTACCTTTTATATTTTATACCAAAATAAGTATTTTATGGTATATACTACCATTGAGGCACGAAATAAGGCATGAAATACCCTATTTATGTTTTTCCTCTATCTTAGATAGTTGGACATACCTATTTTTAAGGGATTACCGTTACTGTATTCATGAATACATGGCGCAAATACATGTGAATACATGCGCGTACAACTGTATTCATGAATACAGCAGCGCAAATACATGTGAATACATGCGCGTACAACTGGACTGCCCTGTTTTTAGGCGCTTTTTGCTGCTGTATTCATGAATACATGGCGCGAATACATGTGCGTACAGCTGGACTGCCCTGATTTTAGGCGCTTTTTACTGCTGTATTCATGAATTACTGCTGTATTCATGAATACAGCAGCGCGAATACATGTGAATACATGCGCGTACAACTGGACTGCCTTGATTTTAGGTGTTTTTTACAGTTGTATTCATGAATACAGCAGCGCGAATACATGTGAATACATGCGCGTACAACTGGACTGCCTTGATTTTAGGTGTTTTTTACAGTTGTATTCATGAATACATTGCGCAAATACATGTGAATACATGCGTGTACAGCTGGACTGCCCTGATTTTAGGCGCTTTTTGCTGTTGTATTCATGAATACAACAGCACGAATACATGTGAATACACTATCGTAATAACTGAATAGTAGCTATAAGAAATAATGATATATATGACAGCTATAAGAAGTTAATAACCACTAAATAATACTCCCTTCGTTCCAGTTTATGTGAACCTATTTCCTTTTAGGTCCGTTTCCAAAAGAATGACCCCTTTCTAATTTTGGAAACAATTTAGCTTAAACTTACAATTCTACCCTTAATAAGAAACTTTTATAACCACACAAATACTATGGGCCCATTTTTAACTTGTTTAAGACCACAAATTCCAAAAGTCTTCATTCTTTCTTAAATTCCGTGCCCAATCAAATAAGTTAACATAAATTAGAACGAAGGGAGTAATGGTTTATGAAAATTCCTCTATATTATATAGTCTTGTAACTGATGACACATCTGTTTATGTACTTCGAACTACACTCTAGTCACTAAGGCCATCTCCATCCTTGCCTCCATTTTCTCCTCCAAAATGGAGTAAAGTTACTCTAATTATTATTTTATTTTTTACTCCAAAAAAGAATATTTCATTTTATATTCTTCTCTCTTCAATATTATATTATTATTTTTTGTTTAAATTTTATTTTGTTATTTCTAATAAAGAAATTCTATCTTTTTTTCCTTTTTACATATTCATCACATATAATTTAATATAAAATTATTTTATACCATAAATTTTTAAATAATATAATTTGTAAGCAAATATTATAGATTATATATAATAACGGATAATTCAAATAAAAGTGAAATCATTGAGATACAAGATAATTAAATACATATTATATTATGATAAAATTCGGATTAAATATTACATAAATATTCAACTTCCACCTCTAGTATGCTCCCATAAATAATCTATTAATGCATTACGAAGTGCAAAACGAGCATCTTTGTCCTTAATCTATTTGTGTCGAGCTAAAAATTGCTCAAACCGGTAATTTTACATATAAATAATAAATGTACGAAAATTAATTTATCAAAATTATACTCCAAAGTTAAGATGTAAAATTAATATTATAAAGATATTATATAAATATAATTAGGTATATATAAAGAGATAAATTAAAAGAGTTAAATAATAAAAATAATAATAAAGTAATGATGAATAGTAATGAAGGAGATGAATAGTGTCACTCCAACACTATTTATCCTTCGTTTTGGAGGCAAAAATGAGGAAAAAGCAGAGGAAATTAGGAAAAGCTAATAAAAAGGGGAGAAAAAAAGATAAAAGGATAACTTGCTTCATCATCATTCCTTTTTTAAATTCAATTCAGATCTTTACGCCCTATTAGATCTGTGCAATATACTCTAATGAAGCAGCTGCCTTCCAACTTCAGTCAAAAATATCTATATATATCAATCAAAACAAGGAAAAAAACAGAGAAAATATATGCAGGAAACTTCCAATTAACCCCACCCCTTTCTCCCTCTCCCCTCCAAAAAACAAAGAAAAAAAAAAAGACAAGAAAGAAAGAAATTATTTCGGAAACAAACAAAAGGATAATACATCATTAATTTCTTTCTTGATTTTGATCAACTTGCTGTTGCTGCTGATCACAACCTTGCCATGTCCAAACTATATCTTTAAGAGAAGTCTTCAATCCCTGATCAAAGAATTTCTTGTATTCCATTGTATCTCCTGATTTTTTTGACACTTCTACCACATGGAAAGAAGGTGTAATCTCAAAAATCTCTGCATCAATAGCTAGCTGTCCTTTTCTCCCTTCTTTAATACTTTGCATTGTCACTGTCCCATCTTTCTTCTTCACATTAAAACTCTCATTTGAAGCCACTTCCTCCAGCTTTGATACAATAATAGAAGCTGGTTTTTTCGCTGTAAATCGAGCATCTGATTTTCTTTCTTTCTCTTTCTCGAATAATCCAGAAAGATCAAAACCAGGAGAAAGAGAAATGATATCAAATGCATTTAAGCAAGTAGGTTTCATTGTTGTTGAATCTTGATCTTTCTTTGGATTGGAAGGTCCCTCTCCATCTGAATTATGGTCCTCAATATCCAAAACGCTACGAGGGGATTCGAGTTGCTCTTTCCCTGGATTTGTGGTTTTATCAATTTGTTTGAAACCTTTCTTGAACCAGTAATTGTCCATGAGCTTAGTTAAGGTGATTCTTGAACTTGGATTTGGATCAAGAATTCTTGAGAGGAGCTTTCTTACCTCAGGATGGAACCATTGTGGACATTTGAATTCCCCTTTGCTTATCTTTTTGTACATTTCCATTAGGTTTTGATCATGAAATGGTAGATAACCAGCTAACAAAACAAATAAAATAACTCCACATGACCAAATGTCAGCCTTTTCGCCATCGTAACCTCTCTTGTTGATCACCTCAGGGGCAACATAGGCTGGTGTTCCACAGGTTGTGTGGAGGAGACCATCTTGCCTTTTTGAGTCTAACAATGCACTCAGCCCGAAATCAGATACTTTCAAGTTGCCACCTGTAATTAAGTAAATAAATTAAAAGTGCGACTTAAATTAAAGGACATAATTAAATAGATAAAAGTTTGCTCTTTTTAGATGCTCTTCACACCTTCGTCGAGGAGAAGATTTTCAGGCTTGAGATCACGGTGATAGACGCCACGGCTATGACAGAAATCAACTGCAGCGATTAATTGTTGGAAGTATTTTCTAGCTGCATCTTCTTTAAGCCTGCCTTTAGCAACCTTATTGAAAAGTTCACCACCTCTCACATATTCCATGGCGAAATATATTTTAGTTTTGCTAGCCATAACCTCATAGAGCTGGACAACATTTGGGTGTTTGATTAGCCTCATGACGGAGATTTCACGTTTGATTTGATCAATTAGGCCAACTTTCATCACCTTTTCCTTGTCAATGATCTTTACAGCAACACTTTCGCCAGTTTTGAGATTTCTTGCATGGTAAACCTTGGCAAATGTGCCTTTGCCTAACAATTTCCCAATCTCATACCTTTGCATCAGAATGTTGCCTTTCTTCTCGTTCTTCGTTGTCATCTTGGAGAAGAGATTGGCGCTACAATAGAGAAAATATTATTTATTGTTGGGGAATCGTCGCCATTGCGCCTAATAAAACTTCCTCACAATCCGTAAGGGTTACAAATTGGGATCCCAGTTTGTTTGAGACGAAAGCGTAGTTGTTATAGTATGGATTAAGGAGCCTTTTTTTGTTTACTCGAAAATTTTGGAACATTGAAGTTTAAAGGATATGGAGGAGACAAGGGAAAAGAGGCCAAAAACCTTGCCGTTTTTGTGGCAGGGTTAGAGGAAATGCCTATTGGGGAAAGTCCAGTGGTATGGACAAAATTTATGCAATAAATGCAGTAATCTCATTCTGTTTGATGCCATAGGTTACTTTGGGAAAATTGGTGAAAGTTAGTTGAGATATGACCATATCTCAAGATGCACCATTCAATTTTCACCTTTCATTTTCCTTTCTCTTCTCCCATGCCTCAATCACCCATCTCTTAGAATCCACTTAAAAAATTTATGTAATTATTATTATTGCAAATAAATGAAAAGACAAACTTATGTAGCTTCATGGGAGGTCCACATGCACTACTTATATCCACAGAGTGCAAGGAACATAATTTTAAGTTGAAAACATAATATTTCTTCTTTTTCAAAATTTCGTCCATGTTACAATCTTTAAGGTTCAATGTATTTAAAATTTTATATGGATTTATGTAACTTCAGAATTTTTTTCCACGTGTAACTGGCTAAAAGTTTTAAATGGGAGTATGTTTAGATCCCCAAAAATTCTTATATTGTATATTTCATCCGTCCCAATTTATATGGCGGTGTTCGAATTTCAAGAGTCAAACAAGTTTTTGTTAGATCGTAAAATTTTCATATGTCTTTTATATATTTTGAATTGTTAATTATTGTGACATATAGTACTTTTTACATAGTTTTCTGATATGTAAATTTTATTCGAAAAAAAATTAAAGAATCTATGTTCAAATTTGTTAGATGCCATGGCTATCAACGAGAGAGAGAGAGAGAGAGAGTTGAGCTTAGATGAAGATAGAATTTGAGAGAGGAGTAGAACAGATCGAGAGAAATGAAATGCAATATGTTAGTTTCCATTCACTGTGCACTGTGTATATATACAATAAATAACTATTCCCTCCGTTTCAATTTAGATGAGGTAGTTTGACTCGGCGTGGAGTTTAAGAAAAAAGAAGAAGTCTTTTGAAACTTGTGGTCTTAAAAGCTTAAGGGGTAAAAGCTTTGTGGGGCCATGACATTTGTGTGGTTATAAAAGTTTCTCACTAAGGATAAAATAGGTAAAATAAAGAATTTAAAGTTAAATTATTTTTAAATTTAGAAATATGTCATTTATTTTGGAACAGACTAAAAAGGAAAGTACATCATCTAATTTGAAACGGAGGGAGTATCACCTAACAACTTAACCATAACTAACTTCTAACTACCAAATCATACATTTAACAACCTAACTACAGTTAAGTCTACTCGCTAACTATGTTCAGTCATCAGCTTGTGTCTCGTTTAGCCAACACCCCCCTCAAGCTGATACTCTAAATAAGTTCTCAACTCCAAGCTGGTTCAGTAAATTATCATGTTGTGCCTTCCCTAAACTCTTGGTAAACAGATCTGTCAGCTGATCTTTTGTATGTATATGTTCAGTTTGTAACAGTCCTTGGCTGATTATTTTCTCTAAGTCGATGTCGATGTGCTTTGTCCTCTCATGAAATTATAGGATTAGCTGCTATTTGTATTGTAACTTTGCTGCCTGATATCATATTTACTGGCATCTGAATGTTGACTCCAAGTTCTTTAAACAAGCCTACCAACCATGTGATTTATGCTGTATAAGCATCCATGCTTCTAAACTCAGACTCTGTCTTGAGACAGTATTCTGCTTCTTGGACTTCCAGGATACCAAAGACTTTCCAAACTTGACTAGGTACCTAGTGACTGATCTTCTTGTTTCTATACATGCTCCCCATGTTAGAGTCACAGTAGGTAGTGAGTTGCTCATTATGTCCTGTAGGTATGATCAATCCTAGACCAGGAGTTTTTTTGATATACCTTACTAGCCTTAAAGTTGCTTTCATATGAAATACTTTAGAAGAGTACATGTATTAACTTAATACCTGTACTGCAAAGGCAATATCAGGTATGGTCATAGTTAGATACAATAATCTTCCAACCAATCTTTGATAGCTGCTGGGATCTTCAAGTTGCTTATCCTCACTTGATTCCTTATGTTTGATACACTCATCATACTTTACTGTTATAAGTTTTTGGTTCAATTCTAGTAGAGTACCAACTGGTTTAGCTCCTTCTAGGTCTGCCTCAGCAATTAGCTCAAGAGCATACTTTCTTTGATACATAAAGATGCCTTTATTTGATCTTGCAAATTCAATGCCAAGGAAGAACTTTAACTCATCCAGATCTTTCATCTTGAACCTCTGCTGCAGTTTTCACCTAGTGTCATTGATCAGATTTGGATTATTTCCAGTAACCAATAGATCATCTACATACACCAGAACTATTACTACGTCACCTGCAACCTTCTTGGTGAATATGATATAGTCATAGTGACTTTGTTTAAATCCCATTACCACCAAAGCTTCAGTAAGTTTCAAATTCCATTGCCTAGGAGCCTGTTTGATACTATATAGAGATTTGTGTAGTTTGTAGACCTTCTGATTCTCCCCCTGTCTAGAAAACCCTTAAGGAATTACCATATAGACTTCCTCTAGGAGATCACCATTGAGGAAGGCATTATGCATATTCATCTGATATATGAGACACTGCTTCGAAGTTGCAAGGGCAATAATGGATCTAACTGTCACTATCTTAGCTACTAGTAAAAAAGTTTCATTGTAGTCTAAGCCTGTCCTTTGGCTACCAGTTTGGACTTGAATCTTTCTATCTTCCCTGAAGCTTTATGCTTGCTCTTGAATATCCATCAGCAGCCAATAGGCTTCTTTCCAGGAGGTAGATCCACAATACTCTAGGTGTAGTTGTCTTCTAATGTTACTATCTCAAGTTTCATGACATTCACCCACTGAGGATCTTTGACTGCTTCTGAGAATGATTGAGGCTGAGTTATGTAAAGTAAGCTGATAGAGCTTGACAGTAGGATGGAGATATATTTGAGTAAGTTACATGAGCTGAGATTGGATAGGTACATTTGGACCCTTTTGACTGAACTACATAGTCCTTCAACCACAGATGAAGCCTATTGGTTCTAGAAGACTTTCTAAGTTCTTCTGTACTTAGAGGATCAACTACAAGAGCTTCACTTGTAGTTGGAATTGCAGTTGTGTTTGGAATATGAGAGTGATTAGACATACTATCATCTTCTGAGGCTGCTGAAGAGGATTGTGTCACATTTTAAGGAGCTGTAGTAGGGGGTAACTGAGTTGTCAAGAGCAACAAGGACAAACTCCAGCACAGGAAATAAAGGATTGCCGACTTGTTTAATGTGCTTAAGGGGATAGATGTTTTCCTGAAATATAACATTCTTGTTGACTAGGAAGGTTCTTGAGGAAAGATCATATAGGATATATCTCTTCTGAGTGGATGAATGCCCCATGAGAACTGTTGGTATTGCTCTAGGTGAAAACTTGTCATGTACCTTAGGACTGGATGCATAACACAAACACCCAAAGACTCTTAAGTGATGCAATGAAGGAAGATGTAAATAGAGTACCTCAAAAGGTTTATTGTACCCAATTACCTTAAAAGGAAGTCGATTGATAAGATAGACAATTGTAGTGACACACTCTCCCCAGAATCTTAGAGGAATAGAGGCTTGAAATCTGAGACACCTTGCCATCTCTAGGATTGTTCTATGCTTCCTTTCCACAACTATATTCTGTTGTGGAGTGTAAACACAAGAACTCTGATGCATGATCCCAAGAGTAGTTAACAGACATGTAAATTCATTGCTAAAGAATTCATTTCCATTGTCAGTTCTCAAGTACTTTACACTAGTAGAGAACAATTATTTTTTGCTTTAACTAGGAAGTCTCTCAACACTACTACAGTTTGAGACTTAGAGTTAATAAGAAATATCCAAGTATATCTAGAGTAGTCATCAACTAGAGTGAAAAAAAATCTCTTCTCATCATAAGTTGGCACCCTATAAGGGCCCCAAATATCACAATGCACTAATTCAAACACAGACTTAGTAGTTGAATTACTTAGAGGAAAGGACAATTTTGATTGCTTAGCCAAAGGACACGCATAACAATGTTCATGAGTACATGCCGTCACATCACTGATTACACTGAGCCTTTTTATTATATTTACAGGGGCATGACCTAATCTCTTTTACCACAAATTACTAGAAGAGAAGGAACTAGAATTAGTAGTAGTACTATAGCTAGAAATATGATCAGAATCAGAAGATACATTAACTGTGTTGAGACATCTTAGCTTCTAGCAAACTGTGTTGAGGAGTTCTGAAGACCTTATCATTGTAGAATATACAGTCCATGAATCTCCCTACCAATCCCCTTCACCTGACCACTGTAGAGATCCTAAAAAATACAGAAGTCAGGGAAAAAGCCAACAAAGCACTGAAGCTCCTTGGTGAGTTGTGACACTGACAATAAGTTGTACTTAAAGTCTGGTATGTACATCATGTTAGATATAGTGTGATCTTTAAGAATAGTAGCCTCCCCTTTATGAGTAACATACACCATCTCTCCATTTGGTAAGTGAACTATATTTTTATTTCCTTTGTTAATTGAACTGTGTGAATTAAGCATGTCAATTCTAGAGGTCGTATGATTTGAAGCACCAGTGTCTATGATCCATTTCTTATTGACAAAGTTGGTCATTAAAGTCAGAGTACATGTTGCAGCCAACCTACTAGATGATCCTGGAGCTTCCTCATTCCCCTTTGACAACAGCTGAAGAATTTGCTGATATTGTTCCTTAGTAAAGAAAGCAAGAGTTGAATGAGACTGAGGAGGGGGTACAATGTTAGGAGCCTGCTGCTGTGGATAAACACAGGAATATCCTCCTTTGTTTTGTTGATAAACAGCATTGGCTTGAGTGAGTTCACAATGTGGTTGAGTGTTCCTGTGAGTAGTATCCCTTGCAGTAAAGTCAACACCTGAGGCACCATTGATATACAGACTAGGGGTAGATGCAGGACCTTTCCTCTGGGTCTTGAAGTCAGGTGGATATCCTATGAGTTTGTAGCAATTCTCTTTGATGTGCCCCTTGCAATGACAATATTCACATTGAACCTGACTTTTCTTGAATTTGTAGTTACCACCTGAAGCTCCATTTCCTATATTGCTATACAATGCTGTGCTTTCTATCCCTTCAGTAACTAGCATAGACTGCTGACAGGTTGCAAGACTTCTCTGACTTTCTTGATCAACAAGCAGAGAATACGCTTTGTTGATACTAGGCACATGAGACATCATCATAATTTGGCTTCTGGCTTGGGCATAGGTTTCATTTAAACCTACCAGAAACTGCATTAATCTATGAGCTTCAAAATGCTGAGAATATTTCTTAGATTCAGGACAAGGGCAACCAGGACAAGGCATGAGTGCATCAAATTCATCCCACAAATATTTCAGTTTAGAAAAATAGTCAGCAATTGTCATGGTTCCTTGGGTCAAGCTATGAATTTCTCTATGAAGATATATAACTCTAGAACCATTGACTTAATCAAATGTTTCCTTGAGATCCTCCCAAACCTTATGAGCATCAGAAGCATACAAAACACTACTCAATAGTCCTGGTCTAATAGAGTTCATGATCCATGATAAAACAACAACATTAACCTTTTTTCACTGGTCATATAGTTCAGGTTCAAACCTAGTTTTAGGATATCGACCATCAACAAAGCCTAATTTTCTCTTACCTAAAAGGCAAATTCTCATAGCATGACTCCATAGGGCATAATTGTCAGATCCAGTAAGCGGAAGAGATATCAGCGTACTACCTGGAGTGTTTGTTGGCTGTAAGAACAATGGGTGATTGTTGGGAAACTTGTGGTACATGTGCCCAAATCACTATGTCCTGTGGTCGGATGAGCAGGTACACCACTCGAGGGACTCGACTCATCTCTAATCGCCATTTTCTAGCAGCAAAGTAATCGCAAAACAATTGTAGTGAACAATTATAAAAAATTTCCACTCAATTCACAAACCCTAGCTACTTCTAGTTCAAAGGAACTCTAAGACAATTCAACCAGAAATTGTTGAATTGAAGTTTCAGAGACGACTGGAGCGAAACTAGAGTTGCGATGTAGATCTACGCTGGAGGCTCTGATACCATATTAGCTGCCGTGGCTATCAACGAGAGAGAGAGAGAGAGAGAGAGAGAGAGAGAGAGAGAGAGAGAGAGAGAGTTGAGCTTAGATGAAGAGAGAGCTGAGCTTAGATGAAGAGAGAGCTGAGCTTAGATGAAGAGAGAATTTGAGAGAGGAGAAGAACAGATCGAGAGAAATGAAATGCAATCTGTTAGTTTCCATTCACTGTGCACTGTATATATACAGTAAATAACTACCACCTCACAACCTAACCATAACTAACTTCTAACTACCAAACCATACATTTAACAACCTAACTACAGTTAAGTCTACTCGCTAACTAGGGTCAGTCATCAGCTTGTGTCTCGTTTAGCCAACAAAATTCACTATCAATATTTTAAAGTTTGACTCTCGAAATCCGTAAATCTCCACATAAATTGCGATGGATAGAGTATATAGAAGTTAAATTAGAGGTACATAAATTCAGAATTTTAAGTTTATCGGTTTTGGATTGTATTAGAGGTACCTAATTTCAGGATTTAAGTTTATGGGCCTTGAATCAAAATCCCTTTTACTTACTGAATTATAAGAAATGACTCATATATATGAGTTTCTTAATACAAATACAAAGTTTAAACCAAAATATTGATTTTACCGAACTATAACTATAACTATAAACTCATCCCCGGTTAAACTCTAATGAAAGTTGTAAAAATGTATCGTGCGGGTCACTTTTAATGCCTGATCGGACGGGTATCTGCTAAGAAGTTAGTGGTGGAGAAAAAACTTGGGAAACAGGTTGATAACAATTATTGTAGTGCTCGAAAGAAATGTATAAATTATCCATATTCATTTTGTAATTCGGTTCCTAGTTTCACATGTGCTTCTTGCAAGTGCTTTTACGTCTGATAGGTCCATATGACAGAAAATTGCGTAGATATTAGAGATGGACAACTGGTTTTAGGTATTATTATAAAATGTTAATACTTCTAATACATGTGAAATTGATATTTTGTTCATTTGTTCAATATTCCTTCCGATTCTAAGTACATTTTTAAATTGAACATGTGCCTCAACGTTTAGCGTACGTGATTAAACTTTAAATAATATTTCAAACAAGAAACTAAAGCACATATGTATAGGATATAATTTTCCAAAGACGCGTCTTCTTGATAGAACAGCTATATCTTAAAGTAAATTACAAAATATACTACCCGCAAATCCGTATTTATCAGTTGAGAGGAGGTGTGCTGCTATATTATTTGTTAAATATATAAATTTTTGTAACTAGTTTAAGACATTTAATTACTATAGACACTGAGGTTTCCAACTTTATGAAAAACTACTTTAGTCATGAGGGACAAATTCGTATGCCCCAGCCAAATCAGGGAATCATGATAAAGATATATAGCAAAGATAGTGATGACCTGAGCAGTTTAATGTCGATTAATTAGGGTAATCGCGACAGTCCTTTTAGTGTTTATTGCCTATACGATATTAAACTAATATCCATGGAAATGCAAGGCCTAAACTCTTAGCAAGATTCATGACTGTCCATTTATCTATTTCGCTTAACTTAGGAGGCCATGCTGTCATCAGTTGTATTCCTTCCGGTCGTAAATATTAATCGCGAATTTGTTCCAAATATTCGGTGTTGTAGAAATATAAAAGATATACACTTACTTTTTTATTTAGTGAGACGTTAAGGAGAGATAAGAATAGCATAAACAAATGCTTTTATGATTAAGGCTAATAAATATCTTTCTTAAAAGCTGTGCGAACATCATAAAAAATGAGTACTATATAATATGGATCAAAGGTAATACTATTTTGTTTAAACACCCAAATATACCTATCATAGTCGCATCAATAAATTACTTCTAGACCAATAGCATGTGTACACAGATTGGTATAAAATAATTGGAGAATAGGTGTGTCAACATCTGGTAACCGCCTTGACATGTGACTCCTCAATAATGTATCATGCTGTAGTAGCATCCACGACCATGCAGACATGTACCATAAAAATTAGATACGTATATTAGTTTGTGGCTGAAGGAAAGTGAAGTGGACTAATGTCTAATGCTAGCCTAGTGAATGATCTTTGTCACTATTAATGCCTTCTGTTTTTAGGGTTTGTGTGGACACCGGCCAGTAAAATCAGTAGGCTGATATTGAATATCTCACGACGTTACGCCACAATTTATTCGAGGCTGTTATCAATGTAGAGTTACGTTAGTTCAGATTTTGCTTAACTAATTATTAGTTTACCAATCCTATTTTGTTAGTATATTATTCTCCTACTTTAGTTTTCCAGATGCTGTTAGCTTTGATTTTAATGCAAGTTTTACCTTGTTAGTTATTGTGCTGGATTACCAACTTATAATACTTTATTTGTTTGATTCTATTTCTAATGTTAGGAAGCCAATTGGGTTTAACTATTATGGGTCAAAGTCTATCTTTAAAATATCTAAGGGAAAACGTTCCAAGGTCGTCGTTTGTCGAAATGACCCAAGAAGCGACGAAATCTGTGGTCGAAGAGTTAAGGCTAAGGTCGAAGAGTTAACAAGGGCTGAGGTCGAGGAGTCAACAAGGATCAAGGCCGAGGTCGAGTACTGTTGACAGAGTTATAACGGCTAGTTTAAAGATATGACATTAAAGAGAATATTCTAGTGGATATTCTCTGCACTTGTACTATTAGAGTTTTTTAGGAACATGTTCCCTATAAATAAAAAAAGACACAATAATAGGGGACATGTGATATTCATATTGTAAAAATACACTTTGACTTTAGAGAGAGAATCGGATTTCATTGCAAGTATACAAACATCACATTTTCACTAAGATTCTTGTCTACACTTTTTTACTAGATCCGAGAATAACTCAGATATTCAAAGGATTGTCCATCACTCATCATTGTCAAAAAGAACATTCACTGATTCCATCCTTTCTTGGGCGACTCATTTATTCTAATTACTTAAATGTCATTTATTGCTATTCATCGATATTTAATGTTACATTATTGCCTTTGATTTTTTGAGTATTGATTGTATGCTACCGCTGCTATCAAAATATACTTACGTAGTATTTATTGCACTTTCGAGAACTCCATCTTTGGGATATTATTGTTAGCTAAAATTAACCTTCATTTATATAAATTTAATTAGTTGAACCAAGATCTATATTTTTTGGTCAAACAATTTGGCGCCGTCTGTGGGGACTTGATCTTAGTTAAATTTGTAGTTTCCTCTAGATCTACAATTAACGCAAGTCACTAACATCAAAAACCCCGAGATCTCCTTTCTTTGTGCATACAAAACCCTACATGGCAAGTAACCAAGAAGAAATGACAAAATAACAAGTGACTTCCCAACCAACCTCATGAATGTCATCAATGAAAGAAACAGTAGGTGAGGACATGACACATAACGCATCCCCTAGGCGAGAGAGGTCGCCTCCCTCACATTACAGCATAACAAAACCCAACGGAAAAAGGGGCCTACACGTCTGCAGAAGAAGGGACGCCCCCAACTATGAAAAAACTCCTCGAAGTATGGATGACCGACACGCTAGCAAGCGTCCTCAACAAACCTGCTCCAGGCATGACTGTAGAAACCGCAAGAGCTTGCATGATACAACAAATAGATGAGCAGTGCAAACGACCAAACCCTCCAACGACATGTATAACTCACAATATTACTAACAGTACAGGTGACAATGCCCTCGCTGCCATTCTAAAGAGGATGGAAGAAATGGAGAATGAAAAAAGGCACTTCGAGACCAGATGAAAGAACACCAAGAACGAGCCAACAAGATACCGAGAGCTCCTAAGCTGTTGCCAAAAAGGGACGCCGGTAGGTTCGTAAAGAAGTCGTACAATGATGATGCAGCCCGCATGGCATACCAAAGACCTTCAAAATACCACCCTACCTCAGGACATATGACGAAACGACCGATCCTGAGGATCATGTGACTCACTACGTCACCGCCGTGAAAGGCAACGACCTTGCCAAGGAACAAGTGTCCTCTATTTTGCTGAAGAAGTTTGGCGAAACTCTTACGGGAGCGGCATTAACATGGTATTCACACCTACCAGCCCGCTCCATAGAAACTTTCAAGAAAATGGCTGATAAGTTCGTAACCGCCCATGCCGAAGCCAAGAAGGTGAAGCAAGAGTAAACAACATATTCATTATTAAGCAGTCCTTGGGAGAGGGACTAAGGGACTTCCTCGCCCGGTTCAACAGAGTAAGGATGACTCTGACGAACGTATCTGAAGGGATGGTGGTGGCAGCTTTCCAAAACGGGCTGAGTAGAGATATTTCAAGAGCAACTAGAAAACTGTTGAGCTGATTGGTGAAGTATCCTCCAACCACTTTGGATGAAATCCATAATGCTTATTGTGCCGAGGTCCGAGTAGACGAGGACAACCTCAATGAACCAACTCACCGGCTAACCTCGGTACAAGCCAAATCCAAAAAAGAATGAAGAGACAACACCAGAAAAGATCACCCGGTTCTGCGGCCCAACAGGGAACGACACCAACCATACATCAGGACGGCCGCCGCGCCTCCCCCCACTATAAAGAAGGTATATTCCGGCCAAGGACGGGAACTCACCAAAATGCAAAGAGGTATGCCCCCTTATTATCTGCTCATAATTTTTATGTATCACCTACAGAAATAGTCTACGCTCTTGAGAAACTCGGAACAAAGGTGAAGTGGCCGCCGAAGATGAGATCATACCCGAACACCAAAATATCCGATGCCCTCTGTGAGTTCCACCAGGAACGTGGGAACAAAACAGAAGATTACATCTCCCTCAGACAAGAAGTTGTAAACTTGTTACGACAAGGGCACCTTAAAGAGTTGTTAAGCGATAAGGGGAGAACCAACTCCGCTAGAGGACGTGAACATCAAGGCCTGCCAAAGCTGCCATCGCTAGCTAGTACTATCAACATAATCATCGGCGGCGACGACGATGCCTCTATCCATGGCGTGAAGTTTACCACTACCCACAAGCTCAAGCAGTTTATCACCTACGAACGGTACGAAGAACTCGAAGAAAGTATCATCTTCGACGAGTCGAATGTCGACGGTTTGACTTTTCCTCATAATTATGCTATCATTATTACTTTACATATTTTAGATACCGATGTCAAACGCATCATGGTGGATGATGGAAGTGGAGCATGCATTATCCACCCCCGAGCCCTTACTCAAATGAGACTCGAGGATAAGATAGTGCCGCGTTGTATCACGCTAACCAGTTTTAATAATGTAGTTGAGCAGACATCCGGGAAAATTTTACTCCTCATCTTGGTCGGCGGCGTGACTCTGGAGACGAATTCCACATCATGGATCAGGAAACTGCGTACAACGCCATAGTGGGATGACCATGGATACATCCCATGAGAGCTACCCCCTCCAGTCTATACCAAGTAATTAAATTCCCAACACCATGGGAAATATTCAGCATACGTGATAAGTGATAATTTTGACTACTTATTAGCACCTTTTATTTTCGTTTTAGTCCAAAAGCGTTTAATTGTGTTCCCGAAAACTGATGAAATATGCTTAATTGCAGGAATAGTGAAAAATGAGCCCCCAATATGAAATCCAACTCAAGAAGGAGTGATCTGAACTCAAGGACACAAACAGGCACAGAAGCTCAAAGTGCGGACCGCAGATTGTGAAGAAACGCCTATCAGAGACAAGTGCAAAGTGCGGTCCGCACATGACATGTGCGGCCGAAGAACCTGGGCAAGAGCAAAAATTTAGAGAACTTGCATCTCAAGTTTAACAGAAGTGCGGACTGCACAATTATTATGCGACCGCAGAAGAACAACTACGCAACCGCAGTCACATTTGTGCGATCCGCAGAAGAGCAATGTGCAGCCGCACTCAAAAATGTGCAGACCATAGAAAGAGAGAAGTGAGGCCGCAGGTTTCCGTTCCTGTCAGGCTGAAGTAAAGTGCGGACCGCACATGGAAATATGCGGCCGTAGAACCTCCGGAAGGGCATTTTTGTTCGAAAATTCCAGCACTGTATAAATAGAAGAGTTTCATTTTTTTAGGTCAAGTTTTGACATTAACAACTGCAGTAGACGTTTTTTTTAACTCTTTTTAGTAGTTTTTGCTATTTTGAGCTTTTTGAATGTTGATTTCATAATTTTAATTATCAATATGAGTTTAATTATCACTTCTTCTTCTTCTTTTTCTCCCAATTAAAGCATGAGTACCTAGATTTTTACTAGGGTTGTGACCCAACCCTAGTATGTAAACTTAATGAGTGTTTGATTTATTGCTTGTTTATGGTTGGGTGTTAATTATCTAGCCTAGTTCTTGCTTTTATGTGAAGTATTAATGGTTGCAAATATTATTTCATGCCTATTTGACTTGGTCTCTACTTGAGAAAGAGAGACTTAGTCTAGAAAAACTTGGCTAGCAAGAAATTGGGTAAATCGAGGGATTGATAAGCCCAATTAAAGGGTTGAACCTAGAGATAGTAAAACCCGACTTGAGCTTATTTTTGTAACAAAGCTTTTGACACCTTACTTAGCAAGTATGGTGTCACTCATAAAGTTACGACTCCCTATCACCCTCAAACTAGCGGTCAAGTGAAAGTCTCCAACCAGGAGATAAAAAGTATTTTGTCCAAAACAGTGAATGCTAACTGGACGGATTGGTCAAAGAAGCTTGATGATGCACTATGGGCTTATCGGACTGCTTTCAAAACTCCTATCGGAATGTCTCCATACCGGTTGGTGTTTTGGAAAAGCTTGTCATCTTCCGGTGGAACTCGAGCACAAGTCCATGTGGGCTTTAAAGAAGTTAAATCTTGATTGAGATGCAGCTGCTAACTTGCGGGTTGCACATTTGAATGAATTAGATGAATTCCGGTACCATGCATATGCAAGTTCGTCCTTGTACAAATAAAGAATGAAGTAACTTCATGACAAATACATCAGAAATAGGGAGTTCAAGATGGGCGATCTTGTTTTGTTGTTCAACTCACGATTGAAGATGTTTCCCGGAAAGCTGAAATCCAAATGGAGTGGTGCCTTTGAAATTATGGGTGTGACACTTTTTGGTGCATTGGACTTGAAGAACATAAATGATGAGGTATTCTGAGTCAATGATCACCGAGTGAATCATTATTTGGGATAAGTTGATGATGGCCACGTGGTGGTAGTGATTCATTTGACGTGATGGTAATCTGTGTCGTGCCACGACGTTAAATCAGACGCTTCTTGGGAGGCAACCCATGTTTCTTTTTATTTTTTATTTCTTCTTCTTTAGATAGGTCTTATTTTATGCTAACTAGATTTGAAGTGTGTTGCAGGAAGGTGTGTGCTTTACAGGAACTATGCTCAGAAAAATTGGTTAAGTATGGAAAAAGTACGGACCGCACAATTTTGGACGCTATAATAAAAGGCAAATGCGGCCGCACAATTCTTGTGCGGACCGCACAACTTGAGATGGAAAAATGCAAACTCTCTGAAGTTTGTTTGTCAGAGAAACAGCCAAAGTGCGGCCGCACAATGAATTCTGCGGTTCGCACCAAAATCTGCGGCCGCATAGCTTAATCTGCGGATCGCAGATGATCAAAAGGAAGTGGAACACCAGGTAACAGAGTGCGGACCGCAGAAGGAATTCTGCAGCCGCACTCGTCTCTTGATTCTTTTGCTAGACACACTGTGTATAAATAGTAACCCTAAGGCTACTGTTGAAACTTTCCATTCTCTGAGAAATCAAACTAAAATTTTGCACGCATCTGATTCAATCAATTACCACCTAATTATGCATATGTGATCATTCCATTGCACCACTTCATCACTAGTATGTTCAAATTATTTCTAGGGTTCTTCAATTTTCTTAGTTTAATGCACAATTTGTTAGTCAGTTTAGACCATTTGTCAATTTCATATCCATGTGGGGGTTAAATTGTGTGGGTTAACTCTTACTTGCTTTTTGGGGCGTGGGGAGGTTGATTATCATGTTTAGTTGCTATCACCATGTCCAATTTGTGCTTAAATCAAAAGCCTACAGGACTCTGCCCGATTGAATTTTGAAATGTGCGGTCACACAAGGAATTGTGCGGTCTGCAGAAGTATAGATTAGGGCAGTTGGTGAGGCAAGATTGTGCGGACTGCACATAAAATTGTGCGGACCGCAGTAATTTCATCGCGACCGCAGAAAAGTTTGTGCGGCCGCAGATAAGGCCAATCTCTGTCATCAGAGAGTTGGCACTTTTGGAAAGTTTCATGTGCGGCCGCACTTGCAATTGTGCGGACCGCACTTCAATTCTGCGGTCGCACTCAAAATTGTGCGGACTGCAGTTTCATTGTTGTGGCCGCACTTTAAAATTGTGCGGGCCACACTTTAAAATTGTGCGGTCCGCACAACCCAGGCTGCGGTCGCAATTGCAATTGTGCAGACCACACTTCCCCACCCTGTAACGTGTTTTGTTCTGTGACTTTCTGTGTATCTGCAATTGAATTGGAAGTGACTCCTGTTGCTGTTTGTTATAGAAAATGGTTAGATCACGAGGTCGTGATGATATATCAAGGGGGAGGGGTGGACCTTCCAGAGGCAGAGGCAAAAGCAATTTACCCCTCACCCTCCAAAGAGTAATTAAAAATAAAGCCAATATAGGTAGAGGAAGACAGCCCAACCCCTCCGAATCTAGTTTATATGCCCCGTCTAGTGAAGCTTCGGAGGGCAACTCAGTGCAAGAGCATCCTGCTATGCAATTACAGCCACAAGAGCCACATGACAGATACCAACTTAGAGACGAGACTTCCTCCTCTGAGAGCTCTTTCAGAGGTTTGGAAGGTGACAGTCAGGCTTAAGAGCCCTCATCCACACATGCCCCCGACGCACCTGCTACTACAGTGGATGTTGATGATATTCCGAATGATGGCCGACGGGGTGATACCAGAGTTTCCGGCCTTGAGAGGTCGAAGAAGATAGATATTTGGGAAGATAGGTTTGTCAATCTAGCTGCTTTCACAAGCTTCTGAGAGTGGTGGCCAATGAGCTCGCTCACTCTTGAGCGTCGGTTCATGATAAAAGACCTTGACAAATACAACCCGACAGTGTCGAGACAGTTCTGGGAGTGGAAGGGGTGGATGTGGTTCACCAAAAGTGTGGTAGATTCCAAGGAATACCTGGTCCGGGAATTTTATGCCAATGTGGCACATATAAAGAAAGGGACCAAGGTAACAAAAGTGAGAAATCTAAAGGTGCGATTTGATCAGAGCACCCTGAACACATATTTAAGGTTTGAGGATGTGGAGCCTGTGCAATACGTGGAAAAGTTAGCACTGGGAGATACAGTTCGACCATGGCTAGCTGAGATTCTTGTAGCTCCGGGGCTGCCTCCAGCATGGATCACAGCAGGGGTTTCCATTCCCCGGAACACCCTAAATTTTGAGGCAAAGGGATGACAAACATTCGTGTGTAGCAGACTAGACCCGTGACAAAATGAAATAAATCTTCCAATTCAACGGACAGTGCTAGTCGCTTCTATCATGGCTGGGTACCCAATCAATGAGGGTGCCGTGATATCGGCCAACATGTCTGTGGTCGCCAGGCAAGGTGACACCTCCTACCCATATCCCAACACTATCACTGAGTACCTTACGGGTGCGGGTGTGGAGCCGAGGGATTTTGATACTAAGGTGCGGGCGAAAAAGCCCTTCTCATGGTATTATTTGATGGGTGGTGGAAACCCAAAGAAACAGGGTCAACCCTCTACTACTGCAGTCCAGTATGATGAGCCTATCCGGGTAGCTGCTGAGACAGTTGACATGCCATCTACTTCAGCAGAGCCTATGCCTCCACCTCCTTCTTCAGGCCCCTCAGCATCAGTGCCTCCCACATCAGCTTTGAAGCCCGTGCCCATGCCCGCTCATCCACTATCTGCGCTGTGTGTCTCCTAAACACTAGCGAGCCTCAACAACTGGATACAGACAGCTACTGCAAAGCTGTCTGACATATCCAGTACTGTTGCAGCACAGTCCTCCACTCCGGCACCCCAGATTCCTCCAACAATGGAGGATACATTGAAGAAGATCTTGGAGAACCAGACCACCATCATGAACACCTTGGTAGCACAAGGAGTAGTGATTGAGGAGCTAGGGAAGCAGGTAAAGAAAATGAGGGAATCCCAGGCGTCCAAGAAATCAGTTGAGAGGCTGAGGAGAGAGGTGACCAAGATAGCAGCAGCTGGTGATCTTTCATTTGATATGGTCATGGAGTCAGACCCACCAGCACTAGCAGATCCAGTAGCACCATCAGCTGTAGTGGCACCAGCTGGCCAGTCTGAGGAGCCAGACCTGGCTGCCGACACTGTTAAGGCAGTGCGCCAGATGTTCACCAAT